AATTTGGCGTTTTCCTTACAGGATGATCTGTTAGGGTTACTAGAACAATTATGCAGAACACTGTGGCTCTATATGTTCATGTGTGGGAAACACTGATGGAGGGTCAAGAAAATCCAGGACATTTTAAGGAACTGTGGGAAGTTCTCACAGGTCCATTTTCTGCTCTCAAGGATCTTGTACCTTGCTTGGGGAGATGTTCACTTGGTGCTACACGCCTCGTGGGCTGGCAAGGACTAAGTGCAGCATAGTTCACACTGAGGTTGCAGGACATCAGAGGAGGAGAGGGCAGAGCTAGTGGGTCAGTGTTAGCAAAGGGAAAGCTGCGATGGGGCTGCTGCGGCTTCAGAAGGGTGGGAAGTGCTGAGGGTCGCCAGCCCAGCAGAGGGGACTAGACAGGGCGAGGAGGTGCTGGAGGCAAGGGATTGGTAGGACTAGAATCCCAGGGAAAAGACCTCATTTCACTGGAAGTGACCGTGTGTTCTAGATTTTATTTTAGCTTTTGACCTTCTAGTCTTGGAGGCTGAAGGAGGTTTCCTGTAAGGAGCTGGGGTCAGAAGCTGGAGAGTGGGAAAGAAGAGGCCCCAGGATTTGGCTCCTCTGAGTGGGAGGGGAAATGGCTCAGCACCTCCTGGCCTCACCACATCACTTACTTAGGAGATAACCTTCTTGTGATCAAGTTAGGTGTCACTCAGATTCCCAAACTAGATTATGGGGGAAGATGTTTGCTGAATGATTTTAATTTCCAAGTAAAGATTTTTATTTAGGTGGTATATAATTAATATGACTTTAGATTAGAAACTGTTTTTCTTAGTTGTCAAGTTTAATATGTTAAATTATCAATTTTAGCAAAATGGAAGGCAAGAGCCTGTTGATATTGTTTTCTGACTAATGATAGATTTTATTGAGTAAAGCTTTTAATGCATATTCATTCTAGATTTTATCCAAGCTTATTTGGCTGTGAAATGGAATCTTAAGTATATGGATTGGATTAATTATCTTTGAAGTGCTGCTGTGTTTCTGATACAGTTCCAGGATGATGGGCTGAAAAGCAGAAATAGGATTTCTACTCTGGGCCTGCACTGGTAGTTAATGATTTCTGCCTCACACATAGGATCTGTATCTAAACCTTACTAGTTCATTCATCTTTTCATTAGCAAATACTCATTATACATTGTGAGTCCTTTCTTTTTTTTTTTAAAGATTGTATTTTTCCTTTTTATCCCCAAAGCCCCCTGCTGCATAGTTGTATATTTTTAGTTGTGGGTCCTTCTAGTTGTGGCATGTGGGGCACCGCCTCAGCATGGCTTGATGAGCAGTGCCATGTCCGCACCCAGGATCCGAACTGGCAAAACCCTGGTGAAACCCTGGGCCTCCGAAGCAGAGCACTCAAACTTAACCACTCGGCCATGGGCCTGGCCCCTTGTGAGTCCTTTCTGAATTAATGAACTGATGAACCTGGAAGGAAGTTCAAAATGTCCTTAGGTTCTGCATGGTATTACCAGGGTCATCAAGGACTTAGTCCTGCCCCTCCCCACCCTGCTCCCTGCCCCTGCCCCATTGAAAGATCCCTCAGAGGCCCTGCTGGGAGCTCCCTGCTGTTCTGCTGACCTTGTCCGAGTCACACTTTGTCCTTTGCAGCTCTCAAGGTTAATGGTTACAGGGAACCAACCCCAAGATCTGTCTTTCCTTTACCCAGAAGTCATGTTTCCTTTCTGTCTTTTTTTAACCAAATTGGGACCCTGTTGTATACCTGACACAGTTTTGTCTCCTGCTGTTTTCACTTAACATTTTGCATGAGCATTTCTTTAAATATCCCACTTGCAGTGGCTGCCTAGTGCTTCTCTCTGTGGGCGAATCGGGAGTAGCCGTTGTCCTCTTGGTGGACATTTTTACATAGGCCGTAATTTCTTAATTAATGTTTTTGTAATATAAATCTTGGTCTGAATTTCTGACTGTTTTCCGCTAGCTTCTTTGTAGAGGAATGTGCCAGATCAGAAGGGTGTGACCTAAGGTGTAATGTGGTAGTGATTACTAAAGGCTTCCCAGGAAGGCTTTGCCAGGTTAGGGCCCACTTCCTCGTTCCTTGGCTAACAAGGAGTATCAGCAGCAGACCCACCCTCTCCTGACTGAAAGGATTGAGAACACCAGTTTGAATGTGGCTTCAGTGCTGGGCATGAGGCTGTGCACAGGGACCTGCTCTGTGCCTTAGTGTCCCCCTCTGTAAAAAAAAGGATGCCAGTGGTCCTCACTCCCAAGTTGTTTCGAGGATCAACTGTGATTGTACTTGTGAAATGCTCAGAAGAGTCCGTGGCAAACAGTAAACACTTAATAAATGTTTATTTTTAGAAGTAGAGAAAAACGGCATTTCATTAATTTCATTTTAAGCAACAATATTTAAACTTGTATCTCTAAAGGGTGTATATGGAGAATTTAAAGAATGAACATAAAGCACACTCGTGTGTGCCCACCACCCTGCTGGAAACAGAGGGTGTTGCTAGGTCTTAGAAGCCTGCTGAGTGGCCCTCCCAATGGTTATCTTCTCCCCTCCTGTCCAGAGGTAAGCTGCATCCTGATGTTCATGTTAATAAAGTTAATGGTGTGTAAAGTATACCTTTAGATAGTTCCAAAGTGCAGGAAGTAAGCAGAGCTTCAGTGTCTATGCAAAGAAATCTTGTATTTCAGCGTTTCATAGTATGTTTGTGGTGACATATGTACAAAATTAATGTTGAAGGTGCACGTTAGTAAAATTCAGAGACATAGTGTTTACTGAGTCCTGTGATCAGTTAAGCCTGAGGACTAGACTTTAGGCCGCTGGCGGCTCCAACCTTGTGTTCCTCTGCCTGTTTCTCTTGCTTCCGACTGAGTGAGCGGTTCCAAGGGGCTGGAGGAGAGAGTGGGAGGACAGATTAAGTGGCCACCCTCGGGGATCACCCACCAAATGCTTCTCTCTCCCTTCTTGCCCTTTCTCCACCCAGGTCCAACGAACATTAGAGATAGTCTTCCTCTCGTCTTCGTTTAAATCCAGCCAGCCAGCCACCTGGAGCTTCAGTTCATAAGTGTGGTTCCACGCTTACGAGGAACCACACTTGGTGTGGTTAGGACAAGCTGCATTTTGCTGTGTGTCTGGCTGCACAAGAGCATTGGTGACTGCTTGTCTCTGGTGGGCCAGCTCCCCATCTGCCCACAGCCCAAGGCCAATGCGGGCAGAGCATGTGGCATGGTTGGCCTTATGAGCACACACAGACAGGTGCCAGGGCCCAAGAACCCCCTCCCGCCACCTTAGGCAGTAGCCATGCCTGGTCTGCCTTATGAGTGCCAAAGCAGCCCTCAAGGGGTGGGTCTATATTATCAACTTCATTTTATAGAAGAGTAAATTATGGCTCAGAGTGTGGCTGCCCATCGTTACCCATGGTTTCAGCTAAGTCACAAACCGAGAACTTGGGTCCCTGATTTTGCTACTCCACCATGGTAGTTCTTCATGGTGGAAGTTGGGATGTAGGGGAGGCAGCAGTGGTTGCTGTCCCTACCTCTGCCTGTTTTTCTGTGCTGAGGCTAGCTTTGTGGAATTTCTTGGGGTGAGAGGGGCTTCTTACCAGAATGTTCCTTGCCAGTGAGCACAGCTGACCTGAGAGCAGTGTCCCTTTGGGGATGAACTGGTCGGATTTGGTAGCAGCCTTCCACCTCCGTTTATGCAGGGACCCAGAGGGAGGTGTTCCCACTGTGTGGTGTGTTGGCTGTACCTGTCTCTGTGCATTTCACAGCTCTAGAGCGTGCTCCACCTAGATAGCGTAAGCACCATCTTTTTTTTTGCTTTTTCTCCCCAAACCGCCCCCCCCCCCGTACATAGTTGTATATTTTAGTTGTGGGTCCTTCTAGTTGGGGCATGTGGGACGCTGCCTTAACGTGGCCTGATGAGCGATGCCATGTCTGCACCCAGAATTGGAACTGGCGAAACCCCAGGCCGCTGAAGCGGAGTGCGCGACCTTAACCACTCGGCCACGGGGCCGGCCCCAAACACCATCTTTAAAAAGGCAGCTTAGCTTTTTGAGTTTGGGATCCTTTCTCTTGCTGGCTGGAGCCCTAAGCTGTGTGATGACATGTTGACCATAGAAGGCCCTGATTTTGATTTTGATTCCTCGCCTGGTGTGTTAGGGAGCTCAGCCTTCCTATATTGTTTTGTCTGCCTCAGAGTTAGAATTGGGCCACTTAATACAGTATATATTTAATCCAGTTTTACTCATAGATAAACAAACAGCATTTAGAAAGGGGACGGGCTTCATTTTGGTCTTGAAGGGCTTACTTTGTGATCTGATGATCCTTGGTTGGGAAAACTTTGTGTATGTGTCTTCTGTGTTTTTTATTGTGAAAGTGCTTATATAGTGAGTGCGCTCCCTTTGAGTCTGCTTGAGCGCTTTGTGTTAACTCATTAAATCCACACAGCAATCCCGGGAGCTCTGGATCTCCTTATCCCTGACTATGGGGTGAAGAGTCTGAGCCACAGAGAGGTGAGGCAGTTTGCTCAAGGTCAGGTGGCTAGTGAGGAGCAGAGCTGGGGTCCCAATTAGGCAGAGTGTGAGTCCTAACAGTTTCTCAGTAGCTCCTCTCTCCTTGTACCTGTAATTTGTCTGTCTGTCTGCGCCATTGACTAGTTCACGTGTAAAAGGCTTAGACAGTTCAGAAACTAATGATTAAGCTGGTGGATCTGTTTATTCTTGTGATATCGTGGAATTAGATTCTTCCTCAGCAGGTTACATTAAAAAATTAAAAAAGAAACACTTAAGAGCCAAGATGTATGTAAAGAATCTAGTTGCAATTGCTCAAATATGGGGTGTGTAGGTCCCCAGCTTTGAATCCTTATCCCTGGTGTAGAGTGACAGACTCCCCCTGTCAACAAGATGAAAGACTCCCATCGCACTAACTCTGAGTCTAACTTCAAACTCCCCAAGCTCATCCTTCATTTGAAATTCTTACCTAATTTGCATTTTATCCTTCCTAAACAGATAAAGACATAGAGACAGATAAATAAAGATCCAGAGGGATCCGAGGGACATCAGTCAACCCTCTTCCCCCAAATTCAACTCCTCCTCCGCTGGGCACTGACTCAGGTACTATCTTCCGTCTTCCTTCTGGTCCCCAGGGCTCAGCATGGATGGGGCTCCTGGTTGGTGCTCAGTGAGTAGCAGTTAGCTGAATGAATAAGTCACTTTTTGTTGTAAAGTGTTTTAAACTACATTTCAAAACAGAGGAGGAAAAACCATGAGTCTCCGTCCTAACACAAACCCTCCAAACCATTTTGGAGAAGAAAGCTCCTCTTCAGCTGGCTACATTCCCTGTGTAGACGCAAGAGCCCTGGGAAGCCACCCGAGGTCCCCGGCTGTGGCTTCTCCCCCAGATGCTCACAGTGGCCTCCAGAAACCTAGTGAGTCATCTCACCGCTCCACGTCCTCATCTGCCCAGTGCAGTACTGTCCTGCCACCAGCTGGTTAAGGACTATGAGGTATGCTTTAAAAATATATGGCTCTGTATTTTAAAAATAAGCTTCCATCTACCTGGCAATTAGTCAGTCTCCTAAGGTTAGTGAAGCTGTCGTCTGCAGCTTTGGAAGAGGTGCGGTGTCCGGTGTGTGAGACTTGATGGAAGGTGGAAAAGAAGTCTGTGGGTCATTTGTTTTCCTTTGCCCCAAATTCATTTGCAATTTTCATCTGTTTGTCAATCAAATATTTGTTACATTTAGCAGTTTTGAATATTGGATACTGACTATTTTGGTATTTTTCATATCTTGATACTGATATTTTCCTAAACTCTCTTAGTGGCTGAGTAATGTACTACTTAATTAAATTGAGCCTTGATATGTTTTTGGTGGATACGAAAATATAATTTGATCTCAAGTTAATTTTCCCTTGAGAGTTTCTACTTCTAAGGGGAGACTGCTGAACTCAATACTCAAAAAATCAAAGTTGAAACTCTTTTCTTTTTTTTTTTAAAGATTTTATTTTTCCTTTTTCTCCGCAAAGCACCCTGGTACATAGTTGTATGTTTTTTTTTAGTTGTGGGTCCTTCTAGTTGTGGCATGTGGGACGCCACCTCAACATGGCCTGATGAGCGGTACCATGTCTGCACCCAGGATCCGAACCAGCGGAACCCTGGGCTGCCGAAGCAGAGCGTGCGAACTTAACCACTCAGCCACGGGGCCGGCCCCTCTTAAGTTCTTATATACAAATTGTATGGAACAAATTCAAGTCTACAGAGAATGGCCAGTTTACAAATGGGCTATAGTTTTACAAGTTCATTGGGAAGTCACTTGTTTAAAATTCAGGCTTGTCTTCCTGTCAGAGATGCTCCTGTGAAGGCACGGTTGTGGTCCTCTCCGAAACCCGTGTGCCTGCTCTGAAAAAGTGAGGTGAACACAGCAGGTGGTTCTCCTACTTACTGATTCACCACAACACACTCATAGTATAGAACCAGATTTATGTTGAGTGGAGTTGCGGGGACCTGGTGAGACTCACTTTTCCAGAGACCCCAAAGGTGCTGGATGTCGATGGTGCCAGTTTTCCTGGCCAAGTTCAACTGAGAACAGCTGTCCCTCCTTGTTCTCAATAGAGATGTGCACATCTTCCACGTTTCTCAGCAACGATGCGGTTACAGAAGTTTATCCTGACAGTCACACAGGAGGTAGGAGAGAGAAGCACAGAAGGGCTCCTGTCCTGAGGGAGGAGGGAGTTGATAGGGTACAGTACTGAGAAGTGGGGGAGGGAGGGAGGGGCTGGGGCATGGCCTCTGGGAGGCTCCTGGCCAGAAAGGAGCAGCATTGACACACGTAGGCCTTGGCTGTGGGGAGCCACTGGTGTGCAACTTGTCAGTGTGAGGCAGGCCGCAGCTCCCAGCCTTCCCTTGGGCTTGGATTTGGGGTGTGTGCACGTGTGTAGGAAGGGCCAGTGATCATAGCTCTCACAGTGATGCGGAGCCTGTGGGACTGGGCAGAGGGCCATGTTCTTGAGAACTTCTCTTGTGACAAGCTCCATTTGATTGGGCAGGGATGGTGGGTGGGCACACCTAAGGTTCTGTTGCTTTAAATTTCTCCAGAGATTTAAATTTCAGAAGCTATTGAGTAACCAAAAGTATTTACTTACCGTAATTTTGGGTCACCAAGTGGGTGGCAAGCTGATTGGGCTGTGCCGGGAGGGAATGACTCACTTGCAGGTCCTCAGTCGCCTGGGCTCTCTGGGCTGTGCTGCCTCCTCAGGGCCCAGGGCTGGCCGGCTGGAAGAGGTGCCTGGGAGCCTGACAAGACCCCACCCCACCCCAGGGCTGCTGGTCAGCAAGTGTCCTCCAGATTGTGGCAGATGGTCTCAGAGTGCTCTTTATGCAGCTTAATTACTGCCTCAAAATGTTTAAAAAATTAGCCCTTTAGAATAACAGCTATAGTACAGATAAACATTTGGACTTTTCACACTGGAAGAGGGCTCTTTTCTAAGACTTTTCATTTCACAACTGTTGCTTAAAAAATGCTTTAGAAGGGGACCAGCCCGGTGGCGCAGCGGTTAAGTTTTCACGTCCCACTTTGGTGGCCCGGGGTTCACTGGTTCGGATCCCGAGTGCGGACCTATGCACCGCTTGGCAAGCCATGCTGTAGCAGGCATCCCACATATAAAGCAGAGGAAGATGGGCACAAATGTTAGCTCAGGGCCAGTCTTCCTCAGCAAAAAGAGGAGGCTTGGCGGCAGATGTTAGCTCAGGGCTAATATTTCTCCAAAAAAAAAAAAAAAAAGCTTTACAAGGTAATATTGCAACCATCATTTTCTTTAAGTATAGAAATAAAATTATTCATTAAAACATACCCATGCCAGCTAGTTATGACTGCAGGAAGAGAAAGCACGAACACTGAGTTGACCCTCTAAGTGTCTCTCCGTCAGGGAGGGGCCCTGAGATCTGGTCTTGTGCTGAGGTGTTTGACTGGCATGCTGTGGCCGCGGCAGGAAGGAGATTGCAGAATTCCATGAAGGAGGAGGGAAGCTGCCCGTGACAAGTCCTTGTGCCGTAGTGCCCATAACGCTGGAGCAGAGGAGAGACTACTGGGACATTTCAGAACAACAGTGGTCGGGTGACCAGCATCTCGGAGACCAGGACTGATGTGGGGCAGTACAGCTGTGGTTAGGCTGGCATCAGACTCCAGTTCAGGAGGCGCCTGGGCCCTTGTGGGCAGCCCCGTTCATAGGTTCCCACCCTTGTGTTTTGAGGTGCCCAGAGGGTGCCAGAAGTGACCCCAGGAAGGGTATTTCAGGGGCACTTGGTTCCCTGCCTGGCACCCAGGGGTTCTTTCTGGAGGTGGCCTGTACCATGGGCCACGCTGGAGGGTGGTGAGTCTAGAGTTACTCGTGCTTCGGAGCCTTTGCACTGGCCAGTCCTCTGCTGGGAAGGCTCTGTGCAGATGTCTTTAGGCCTTTCCCTCCCTCCTCTGGTCTTTGCTCAGATGTCCCCTTCCCAGTAAGGGCGTCTCTGTTTTGATTTGCACCACCCCGGTCCACACACTCCTGTCTTGCTGTCCCACTGTGTTTCTCTCATGGTGATTACCACTATCTGACACACTGTAGATTTTACCTGGTTTTTTGCGGGGAGGGGGTCTGTCTGCCCTACTAGAATATGGGCTTCTTGGGGGCACAGGCTTGATTTTGTTCTTTGTTGTATCTCCAGTGCCCAGAACAGTGCATGGCAGAGAGTTAAGTGCTCAGCAAACATTTGCTGATGGAGTGGATAGAGCACTGTGGTCTTGAGGGAACCATATTTGCCTTAAATCATTAAAGCTGCTGGGAGGTGCTGGTGGAGGGCCTGCTCTTTCACATAAAGCATGTGATAGAAAAGCAGGGGTGTGTGTGTGTGTGAGTGATATCATCTGTTATTGCCATTTCAAAAATCCAGTTCTTTCTACACTTCACTTGGATGTTGATTTCAGAATGACTGTTTTTTCTTTCTAACTCATGAGTCATGAAGGCTGCTGTGTTTTGAATCAGAAACGTTAGGGGAAAGTGGAACTTTAAAATGTGTGATGCGTGATTAGCCATTGTTACATTTCACTTTCTGTACCTGAATATTTCCCTCCCTGCCATCGCAGTGCCATCTAAGCCGCCGTCACCCTCCCCTGGACAGTGCTGCAACCCTCCAACCCCTCTGCCTGAGGCTGCTCTGCTTGAGAGCACTCTTTCTGAGCCCCACAGCAGCCAGGGGTCTGCTCTGCACCCTCATTCGTAGGGGTGACAGAGCAGATGGCACTCGGCCATCTCTACCATGGCCACTCTCACAGCTTTAACCAGCTAGTTCTGTAAATGACATTGGACCTGTCGCCCTATTAGGATGTAGCTTCCCAGGGATAGGAAGCGCAGCTGCCTATGGCCGTGTCTCTGGACCATGCTAGCACATTGGCCATGTTTGTTGAGTAATTGGGTTAATAATGTGGCTACTTTACTTCGTTTAAGAAACTGTGTTGAGCAAAATGAGTGTATATATTTTTATGAAATAACAAAAACCATGGCTTTGGAGAGTAAGGGATACTTAACAGAAGTTACTGCATGGCCCGGGTTGTCTGCTTTGGGTGAGTTAAAGGTCTCGGAGCTCCCCCTGACCCTCCCAGAACTCTGGACACGGAGGTGCAGGATGTGCTATAAGGTGGGGCAAACACACTGTGCCTACTGGGCAGGGCTGGACCAGAGGGCTAGGTGAAGGGGCCGGAGAGGTTCCTGGTGGTGAAGCGTGGAGTCCTGGCAATTTGAGGTGGAGGGGGACGGTGGTTGTGCACTGTAGGTGCTGCTGACTGGTGTGTGTGTAGACACTTGGCATCCTGTCCCTGCTCCCTCTCAGCCTGGCCTCAGGACCACCTCACCACCCTCCTGCATCTCCGGACCACGCACCCTGTTTCTCTCCTGAATGTGGCCAAGCCTTCTACTTTAATGCTCACCAAACCAAAGCAGGCACGGCTCATTCAGGCTCCAGAGCATTCTGTACCTGTCCAGAGCCTGTTGACGGTTTCAGCCAGTTGCCAACAACAAAGTAAGGTGACTGACTCGTTTATGTTAATTTATACTAAGGTGGTGTGTCTCTCTTAAAGGAGAGGCTCATTGATGCCTTTGAACCTCTGATTGGAATTGTGCTTTCTGACTCAGTGAACTTGGCAGGCATCTTGTAAAGGTCAGAGTTAGCATTAGCATTAATGTTTACAGGTGGGAAAAACCTGGGCTCAAACCTTTATCTTGTGACAGGCTCTGCAAAGTATACACAAGACACTGTTTCTCTACCACAGATTTCAATCCCAGACCGCCCACAGGGTACAATGCTAGGAATCCACGCATGGGGTTGTCTTAAGTCTTAATGCCCTTTACCTGAAGTCTGGGTGGGGGAGCTCCTTCTGAGAGAGGTGATTCCCCTGAGGGAACAGCCGTTCCAGGACAGGCCATGAGGCTGCAGGTCACTGTGCTCCTCACATGCCAGTTTTCTGGCTAGATGTGT